GTACTCACCAGCAAATTGATATTAACTGATCAACACCTAGGTGGACATATAGGAATAACATTTATTGGGTGTCAGACAGATGGGAAGGGGGAGTAGAGGATGGGTATATACATACATAATGAGTGTGATGCGCACCATCTGGGGGATGGTCACACTTGAAGCTCTGACTCTGGGGGAGGAAGGCAACACACATAACCTAAACATTTGTACCCCCATAATATGTTGAAATAAATAAATAAATAAATAAATAAATAAATCTAACTGTATCCCTTATAACCTAAAAAAAATAATAATAATAATAATAAATGCTGCAGAGATCCTAATGATCAGACAAGTTTGGGAAATAGGAGGGGTGGGATCAGAATTTGGCTCCAGTTCAATTTGGGCTTTACCATGTGATTTCTGGGTAGTCTCAGACAAGTTACTTAGCTTTTCTGGGCCTCAGATCCCTCATCAATAAAGTATAATAATACCCCATTTCGGAGAGTTGTTGTGAGGGTTAAGTGGGAAAACCCACAAAATGTGCTTAGCCCATTCAGAGGCAGCAGGATGGTCTGGGGCGCAGCATCAATGCGGCCAGACTGTAAGCTTGACTTTGAGCCATGTTGCAAGGGCAGATCAGAGAGAGATAAGGACTTCAAACTAAATACTCTTTGGTGATGGGCATTACGATTTGACAGAAAGGAAGGACAGGAAGACAAAGGTGGATCTGGAAAGAGCTTTAGAGGTTGAGATCTGAGCAGGGAAAATTTCTGGAATGTGATCAAGGATAAATAGACTTCAAAAAGATAGGAAAAGCAAACTTGAGATTTCCAAGCGGAGACACCATTTTCTGAGAATAAACTATTTGATGCCCCTTTAATCCAAAAGCCTTAAAACATCTTCATCTGCCTCATTTATTTAGCAGACGACTTTATTATTCTACTGTACTATACCTGTGCTCATACTGGAGCTTACAAAGATGAAAGTGGCAATACCCTCCCCAAGGAAATTACTGTGTATCATTGGGCTCAGGCAAATAAGCGATTACAGCAAGGAAGTGTATGAGCGGTACCCTGGGCTGCTGGGTGGAGAACAATTATGCTGCCTGAGGGAGAAAACAAAGCCTCTCAGGAAGTCTTAAAATAAAGATTCTATGACAGATACAACACTGTCATTATCATAATCATAATCATAAGCTAACAGTAATAAAATGGCTAACATTACCCAATGCTTACTTTGTGCAGATGCTGTGAGAGGCCCTTTGCATGCATTGTCTCCTGTCATTGGATAGAATGGTTGCGGCAGGCAATAGCGCCATGTTTCACTTCCTTATGTTTGCACTGTCTATTCAGGGTTGGTCTTTCTTTCTTTCTTTCTTTCTTTCTTTCTTTCTTTCTTTTTTTTTTTTTTTTTTTTTTTTTTTTTTTTTTTTGAGATAGAGTCTCACTCTGTTGCCCAGGCTAGAGTGCCATGGTGTCAACCTAGCTCACAGCAACCTCAAACTCCTGGGCTCAAGTAATCCTCCTGCCTCAGCCTCCTGAGTAGCTGGGACTACTGGCATCTGCCACTGCACATGGCTAATTGTTTTTCTATTTTTAGTATAGACAGGGTCTTGCTCCTGCTCGGACTGGTCTTGAACTCCTGAACTCAAGTGATCCCCCCGCCTCAGCCTCCCAGAGTGCTAGGATTACAGGCATGAGCCAATGAGCCCGGCTTCAGGGCTGGTTCTAATGCCATTGCTGCACAACTGGTGAATTACGATACTTGCCACATTGATTCTCGCGTTCTTGCTCCTTTAATAATACAGTAGCGACATAAGTAAATTCCCATCCCCTACTCTGATACCACATCACCAGAGTCCCTTGGAGAAAGTACTCACTGCCTACATATGGACTGCACAGGGAAGACCTGAAAATTGGGATCTTAAAGGGGTTTATGACAACATCCTAATCTTTATACATGAAAAGCCCTAAGTACACAAAGTCTAATGTAAAGACGTTGTTAAATTCTCTACGGGAAAAGATGTGCCCCTGCTGTCAAAGTAGTGGCTAACAATAACAATGACAGTAAGATAAGAAAATCTAATATTTATTAGTCACTAATTATATTATAGACTAAATTATTTGCATGTACTAACTGATTTAAACCTTATACGTGTAGATGCTATTACCTTCTGCATTTGCCAGACAGAGAAACCGAGGTCTGGATACGTGCTTCGGTTGGGAAGTTGAGTACAAAGTTGGGTGTAAGTAGGGAGGATTAGATCACAGTTAGTTCTAGTTTTGGCAAACCCGCCGTAAGAAGCTCCACCTCAAAGCATGACAAATCAGTAGTTCCCCAGTTTACAGAATGAAAATTAAGTTCTTTGGCAAGAATGTCCCCAGTCTGTACCTACTTGTCCCCTGCACAACACACATCTCCAGCTCAGGTGTGCCCCATCCACTCCCAGCAGATCACAGATCTTTATGTCCCCAGACTGTGTCTTTTCAGCAGTGGTTCCTTTGGCCTCAAAGGCACTTTCCCTTCCTCTTTATTACCTGTTTGTCCCAAACTTAGCATCTGTCTTACGAAGTCACCCTCCCCAGGAAGCTTATCCAGATATGTTAAGGGCCCCACAATGTCCCTTCAGAGCTTGACCACTTCCTGCCTAGAAGAGTGTGTCCCCACTGAGGCCAGGGGCTGCAGCTAGTTCGTTTTTAACCCCAGCATTTAAAAGCCCTATAGAAGTAGTCATTGATTTGCTGGGAATAGTTGACAAAAGGGATCCCTGCAGAGACTATCTGAGACCACGGTTTGTGATGGTTTCATTAATTTTTGTTGTGATTCAGAGGTGTGATTCATTGCTTATTGTCTTCCTTTGTTTTTCCCTCACTGCTTAGCACTGCTAGACATTAGGTACGTTGATCTGACAGGAATTAAAATTGATGACTGAGCGTGACACCTCCATTTGCTTAGACACCACAGTTTTGTTCATCATGCTTTACTTTTGTAATCAGCACCCGCTCAGCACTGACATAAATCTGTGGTCTTCCCATGAGGATGCCATTTGTTCCTTTTATGTCTTGATTCATCAGATATTGTTGAGAGTGTTAGCTGACTAAGGCTTTTTGCTTTGTGAAAATGTCACCAAATGTACCGTGCAGGGGAGGGCACCAGATGTCTGTTTGCAAAGAGAGCAAAATCCTGGTTGTGAAGAGTCGAGGCTGGCCAGAAAACTTCCCAAACATTTCCGGGCCTGAGGTTTGGCTGCACACTCTTCTTGGGGTCTCATAACTGACATCCACATTCCATTTCAGCCATGATTCTGAAAGAATTTGTCAACTTTACTGCTGATCTGAGGCCTGGAAACTGTTGTTTATTAGTTTTCTCAGATTTAAGCTGAAAATTGAAACAAAGTTGCTGGATAATTTTGACGAAAATAACACATGTTTGTGTGTTATCCCATGATTAACTAATTGTAAACAACTTTATTGAGGTATGATTGTCATATTAAAGAGCTGTACATAGTTAATGTATACGACTTCATGAGTTTGGAGATTAGTATACATCTGTAAAATTATCACCCCAATCTTGCCATAAACCTCTTACCACCTCCAAAAGTTTCCTCCTACTCTCTTTATTTATTATTATTTTAAACTTAATTTTTGTCTTCCTTTGAGCTATCATAACTTTCTCAAGTAGTGCATAGTGAAACAAGTCATTCACAGCTGGAAGTATTATAAACTTCCTGAACCTTGATTAAAAGTCATGTTTTAGTGCTCTAGTTAGAGCAAGAGGTAATGAAGAGGTGAGTTTTCTCTGATTTGTAGCAAGAACCAATGAGGGTGGTAGGGATTGTTCAAGATAAGAATGGTAATAATAAATAATACTTAAGGTATCAAGGCAGCAAGTGTACTTGAGGGAAATGTTATAAAATGCAGTTTTGCTTTCAGTAACCTTAAAATCAGAGTGTAATACATTATAAATTCTGGGAAAATGTTTGCTTTTTGTCATAATTCTTCATTGCATATGAGAGAATGATCTACAGATGAAGATAATAGTAAAAATTTAGAGACAGAATAAAAAGAAACAGATCATACAATTTATAATATTGTATGACTGTTCAAAATATTAATTCACCAAAGCCCCCAGCCAATGGACAACTCATTAGCATACAAAAAAACACTTACTGCTGTGGAGATACCAGGATTTTAGGAATTTATCAGGAAACAGGGACAAGACCAAATATACATTTCACAATATCACAAGTAGCTTCACTGGCTTTGGTTTTTTGTGGACCTGGGCCATGCTGACCCTCTAAGAAAAACCCAGACATACATAAGAAAATCCCAGAAAAACATAATCCGATGTGGAGAACCTAGAGACATGCCCTTCTCCACCAAGCCCAGATAATAGTTGCATACTTTTTGTAGCTGAGATGCTTGCAAAGCAACCCAGTGTAATAGTTCAAGGGGGAGTGACAACTACATGGATTATTTTCCATTCTTTCCTGGTTTTAATGCAACCAACTACTAGTGTCGATCAAATTATAGCTGCTTTTGTAAGAGATGAATTTTTGCCCATCGTACATCCTGAAGGTCTGTGTCTCTCTTGTCCAACTTTCACTTCCCCTCATTCCTTCCCAACTCCCAGGATAGCTCACATGTTTGTTTCTAAAAATACACTTTTTTGACTGAACTGTTTTTCATACTATTTTTAAAGAAGAATTTATAGTCCTCGTTGTTTTCACAAGTAAGACTCAAGTTTGTACTCAAAATGATAAAGGAAGGCATTTTTTTGTTTTTAAATTGTTCCCTACTGAGTCTAGGCTTGAGACCAGACATGACTAAGACTAGGTTTTCATTTGCTCTGATTTTTATGAGTTCTTTTTAGAACGTAGGTGCAATTTCAATTTAAAATAGGGGGATTATTGTAAGGGGGAATGTCATACTTTATCATTTGAAAATGATGCCATAACAGCTTCTCATCAGATGGTTTTGACAGGGATGACTGACAGTTTCCTTCTCTTTCTGTTCCAGACACAACAGCTCTTCTTGGCAGAGAATCCCAGAGTCTGCAAAGAGTTAATCCAGCCCTAGGGACAAGTAAGAATTGCAGTCCTTTTGCTTCCTTCATTGATATTTTCTACACATAATTAAGCTACTGTCCTTTCTATATTTTATTTTGGATATTGGTAACTGGAAGAGTCACTGAATTAAAATTTTATAGGCAAGCAAAAACACATCTTTTTTCAGGATTTATTTTTCAACTCCTCTGCAATTTCTTTCTCCTTTTCTTATGCTTAGAGATTAAGCAAGACCAATTTAATGAAGGAGAAAAAAAGAGTAAATGATTTATCATGGATCGACAATTATTTATTGAATTTAAGAAAATATCATCTTTATGTAAATTCTATTTTAAATTATTATTATTATTTTGAAACATTTATCTAGTGATTCTATTGGTAAAAGGTTAAACTCGTCTCTCACACCAAATCGCCTTATACTTCAAAATTCTGCCTTTGTGGAAACTGTCTCTTCTTTTTAAAGTGACTTTACACAAACCCCTCTGGTCCTTTGGCAATCTCCTCTTTACCCACAAGACTGAAATCAAACATGAGCTCTGTGGGGAAGTTTTTGCAAATTCTCTAGGCCCAAAACGTTTCTCTGCCTTCCATGTTTTCATGAAACATTGTGTGTCACTCCATGATAGCATTTACCTCCTGACATTGGAGTATGTGTGGGTTGCATGAATTAATTAATTATATTGAACTTTAAGGCAAAGCCCACATTTTATTCTTCTTCTAAATTCCTCACATCACCTAAAAAATCCTGATCACATAGTAGGTGCCTATGTAATTAAATTCTAGGTGCCTGTTTAATTAAATTCTAGGTATGGATTTTTTTTCATCAGTAGAAGTATATTTTAGAGTCCACATTATGCAATAAAGGAAGGAAAGACAATGGACCTAATTGAGTTTAAGCTATTGCTATTTTTGTTGGTAATTTAGGTGTCATGAAACCATAATTTGGATTTTATGACTAAATTACAGAGTAGATTTCTAATGTGATATTTATTAATGCATCATTTCCTCAGAGGTGGCCAAAAAGGAGAGTTTGTACTGTTTTCAACAAATGTCATCCATTTGTCAGTTGTGCCGGACCACAAATCCTTTACATCTCTCCTGTTTGGGAAGAATCTGACATGTTAATCTGCTCCCTAATTATCACAAGGGTTGTAAAAGAGGTGGCTGTTTAGTTATGAGTGAGTTATCCCAGCCAGTGTATTCCAAAGCTCAACAGACAATGTAACCTATCCTGTTATTACTCTCTGTAAGGAAATGAGAAGGAATCCATTAAGGATGTAATGGTGTGTGCTTCATGTTGGAACCATCCTTCACAAGCAAACATAATACACTTCCTTCAGTTTTTCCCCCGAAGTGGTAATATGATTACTCCAAGCCATTTCCTTTGTCAGGTCAAAGGGTCTGAGGAACCTACACATTGTGCCTTGTTGAAATACAGCCTATAGGTATGGAGGAGGTGTTGAATGACTTCCTACCCATCAATACCAGTCATTTGGCATATGTTGCTTTCCTGTCTTTGTGATAAGAAGACTAGCTAATTATCATTCATATGTGGTAAATCACATTGACACTGACATCCCCTATCCTTCCAGCTTCTCCTTATCAAAAGTCTCCTGCCCTCTGTCCCAGGAACAACTGGCTGTAGTATCCCACAATCAGGGGATGTGTCTGTATCAGTGGGCACCTGCCATACTGCATGTGCCTGAACATGTGACTGCCTTTATTGTCACAAGTATCTCATCCAGATGTGCCAGACCCAAGAGCTCACATCACCTCACTGTGTCACTATGTACATTGTGTCAAAAGAAAAGAACCCAAACTCTGTAAAATAAAGAGGTTTATTCTGAGCTGAACATGTGTGAATATGGCCCAGAGAGCCATGCCCAAGAAGCCTTGAGCAAGTGGTCCCATCGTGGTTGGGTTACAGTTTGGTTTTACACACTTTAGAGAGACAGGAATTATACATAAAGTCACAAATCAATACATGAAAAGAGTCCATTGGTTTGGCCAGAAAAGGCAGGACATCTCAAAGCAGGGTGGGGTAGGGGGTGGCCTTACAGGTTACAGGTGGTTTTAAAAATTCTTTGATTTGCAATTGATTAAAGAAATGAAGCTTTGTCTAAAGGCTTGGTATGTTTTAAGTTAAGATAAGAAACTTAAAAGGCTTCTTAATCAGAGACAAGCCACCTGACGTATACTGAAACTCAAATGATCTGTTAAGTAAATTGATGACCTGTAGGTGTGGTTTAATCTGTGTCTTACATGACCTTAGGCTTGTTAATGATTTTGTATCTTATTGTTACAAAGAAGAATTTCAAAAAGCATAACTAGGTGTGTCTGATCTCCCTTTCTCCTCATGGCTGGCAACTCAGCTTTAAGGTTTTTCTGGGGTCCCTTGGCCAAGATGGGGTCTATTCACTTGGCTTGGGGGCTTAAGATTTTATTTCAGTTTACAGTTGTCACTGTATCACGAATACACAACTCCTGCTGAATATGCAACATTTGTCTCTGTACCTTAAAGGAGAAAAAGTGTGATATTGTCCTAACATCTAAAAGCTCACATTACAGAGGTAATTGTACATGAAAAGCTAGTGTTCAGCATGTCCTGAGAACACACAATTATAATTTACCCATTTCCTATGTGTACTTTACTAAATTCTCAGATTCAAAACACAACCCCATGAAAGAAAAAATAAAATAAAAACCCTTTCAGGACAAGTTCTATCCAGAACTGACTAAACATAAATGAAATAAATGCCACCACCCTCTCCAGGTCACTTTCACTTTATACTTGGCCTGTTGCAATAACTTTGTAGTAACTGCCTCCCTCCTCTCTCCTTCCACCCCTTGCCCCATCTCTCCTTCCTCAGATCCATCTTCCTCTGCCAATAATAATGTTCTCATGATCTGTGGAACACTAAATATCTTAGTTCTATCTCCACCTCCTAAACGTTAAACTGCAAACCTTTCCCAAGACACTGTAAATCCGCCCCAGCTTGTAAGTCTGGACTATGTACCATTTCCCAGGTACGCCGTGTTTTCCCTCCTCTGGGATATTGTTCATGTCATCAAATCTTCCAGAACTAGCCTCCTTGCACCCCACCCTGCAGTCTGTATATGTAAATTCTGCTCATACATTAAGGTTCAGTCAAAACACTGATACCCTTGGCTGGAAGCAATTTCTCCTTCTGCACACTTGTCTATGGGAGAGGTCATGATATTTTATGACTGGTATATTTGTCTGCTAGGACTGCTACAACAAAGTACCACAGACTGGGTGTCTTAAACAACAGAAAGTTATTTGCTCAGAGTTCTAGATCCTGGAAGTCTGAGATCAAAGGACTGGCAGCGTTGGTTTCTTCTAAAGCTTCTCTCCTTGGCTTGTAGATGGCTGTCTTCTTCCTGTATCTTCACGTGGTCTTCCCTCTCTACCTGTCTGTATCCTAATCTCCTCTTCTTGTGAGGACCCCTCGTCATATTGGATTAAGGCTTACCCTAATGACTTCATTGTACTTAATTATCTCTTTAAAGATTCTTTCTCCAAATACAGTCACCTTCTGAGGTACTGGGGATGAGGACTTCAACATATAAATTTTGGGAAAAATACAATTCAGCCCATCATATCACTCTTTTTATTTCAGAATAGTGTCCCCACAATAATACCAATAATTTGGTTACATAAATTGCTTTGGTACTGTTTGAGTTAAACTTATAAGTGTGCCCATCCCCCAGATAGTGCGCACTGTAGCTGTTAGATCATAACACCACCCTTAAGGAATATATTACATGCTGCTTTGGAGTCTAATTATTTGCATATATCTCTTATCACTGCATCTGGATTATGAGCAGCTGTGTCTTATTCACAGTTGTATATAATTCACAGTACCTAAAATGGTACCTTGAGCATAGTAAATAATAAATTATATTGCAAATAAATGAATTAAATGAAAATATTCTTAATATCTCCCTAGTTACCTACCCTTCTCCATACTTAGCACCCTTCTCGTGGGGCCTCTTGTCTGGCTGGGGCCCTTCATAGAGGATCAGATCTCCCCATCTGTGTTAATTACATATTATCACTTTAAATGTTCCATTGGTTAAAGGACTCATAGGAATCAAATGGTTTCTCCTCACAGGACAGCTTTATTACAGGCAAAGAATACAGTATAGCAATAGAATGGGGATACGTGTTGACCAGGGTCTCAATATCTCCAGTCTGGCCTTTTTGTTTTCTCATTGCTGGGTCACACAGGATGCACTTTGTCTCCAGATCTGAATCCTGAAGTCTTCCCAGGGTGGGGTCTCCCATAGTGAGCTGGTTGTGTGGGCACAGTCTGTGTGGCCAGCCTTAACCATCAGACCCCTAGCCCCCAGCTTTTACCTAAATAAGTGCAAGTCATAAATCCAATTATATTACTAAACGATGTTGACAGACTGATACGTTCTGTCCAGAGACAACTCACAGATCCATGACTACAGAACATGATTTATCTTTAGTTAAATATCATTGGCCAAGCATCAGTAACTCTGGAGAGAAGCATGCAGTCAAACCAGACAAGCCAAAATGTATCCATGCTATGTTCCACCTAAGGAATCATCCCTTGCTGTAATCTCTTCTTTCTCGTTTACCAAAAATTATCTGTCCCATTTTCTAAGCCTTCAGGGTTTTGCTGTACTGGTGAAATGGCCTAATTCATGTGAATGTGTGTGTTTGTGTGAATGAGAGTGTGCTAACGTACCTTCCACAGAGTAGATTCTTAAGAAACATTTTCTGGAAAAGAAGAGCTGTTTGGGGACCTTTCAGCTCACATACGTGGATAGCAGCACAGCCCCGCTCATGCAAGGGTCAGCCCAGGGTAAACATGAGCAAAAACACTTACTTAGGATAAGAAGGATGTTGAGAGAGTTTTCAGTTTAAAGAGCTGTACAGACAGTTTTGTCATATTTTAAAGAAGTAATGCTATAAATTTACAAAGAAAGCTGCTTTTTGTTTCTGAGGAGAGGGATTAATGAGGGCTA